AACTGAATAACATGCTAGGCCATTTCGGAGGGCAATTGAGAGTCAACCACATTGCTTTGGGTCTGGAGTCACATGTGGGTCAGACCAGGCGATGATGTCAGATTTCCTTACCTGTCAGACTTTAGTGAACCAGATGGGTTTTTCTGCAAGTCAAAAATGATTTCGAGGTGATCAGTAGATTCTTAATGCCTGACTTTTTTTTAATTCAATTCAAATTCCACCATCTGCCGTGATGGGATTCGAACACGCATCCCCAGGATATTAGAGATAACAAGGTGTAGAGCTGGATGAACGCAGCAGGCCAAGCAGCATCAGAGGAGCAGGAAGGCTGACGTTTTGGGCCTAGATCCTTCTTCGGAAATGGTGGCGGGGAAGGGGGTTCCGAAATAAATAGGGAGAGAGGGGGAGGCGGAGAGAAGATGGATAGAGGAGAAGATAGGTGGAGAGGAGACAGACAGGTCAAAGAGGCAGGGATGGAGCCAGTAAAGGTGAGTGTAGGGGGGTAGGTAGGGAGGAGATAGGTCAGTCCAGGGAGGACGGACAGGTCAAGGGGGCTGGATGATGTTAGTAGGTAGGAGATGGGGGTGGGGCTTGAGGTGGGAGGAGGGGATAGTTCAGAGGAAGGACAGGTTAGGGAGGCGGGGACGAGCTGGACTGGTTTTGGGATGCGGTAGAGGGAGGGGAGATTTTGAAGCTCGTGAAGTCCACATTGATACCATTAGGCTGCAGGGTTCCCAAGCGGAATATGAGTTGCTGTTCCTGCAACCTTCGGGTAGCATCGTTGTGGCACTGCAGGAGGCCCAGGATGGACATGTCGTCTGAGGAATGGGAGGGGGAGTTGAAATGGTTCGCGACTGGGAGGAGCAGTTGTTTATTGCGAACTGAGCGTAGGTGTTCTGCAAAGCGGTCCCCAAGCCTCCGCTTGGTTTCCCCGATGTAGAGGAGGCCACAACGGGAACAGCGGATGCAGCAGCGGAGCACGAGGAGCTCGAACAGTTCATCCACTTCAACACCTTCCACCCCAACCTTAAGTTCACCTGGACCATCTCCAATACCTCTCTGTCTCCATCTCTGGCAACCACCTAGAAACCGATATCCATTTCAAGCCCACCGACTCCCACAGCTACCTAGAATACACCTCCTCCCACCCACCTTCCTGCAAAAATGCCATCCCCTATTCCCAATTCCTTCGCCTCCACCGCATTTGCCCCCATTATGCGGCATACCACTCCTGTACATCTCAGATGGCCTCGTTTTTCAAGGACCGCAACTTTCCCCACTCAGTGGTCGAGAACACCCTCGACCATGTCTCCTGCATTTCCCGCAACTCATCCCTCACACTCCCTCTCCACAATAACAACCAAAACAGAATACCCCTCATCCTCACGTACCACCCCACCAACCTCTGGATCCAACGCATCATCCTCCGACACTTCCGCCATCTGCAATCCAACCCCACCACCAAAGACATTTTTCCCTCCCCACCCTTATCTGCTTTCTGGAGGGAACACTCTCTCCGGGACTCCCTTGTCCGCTCCATACTCCCCTCCAGCCCCACCACACCCGGCACTTTTCCCTGCAACCGCAGGAAGTGCTACACCTGCCCCTACACCTCCCCCCTCACCCCCATCCCAGGCCCCAAGAAGACTTTCCACATCAAGCAGATGTTCACCTGCACATCTGCTAATGTGGTATACTGCATCCGCTGTTCCTCCTCCACATCGGGGAAACCAAGCGGAGGCTTGGGGACCGCTTTGCATAACACCTATGCTCGGTTCGCACTAAACAACTGCAACTCCCAGTCGCGAACCATTTCAACTCCCCCTCTCATTCCGCAGACGACATGTCCATCCTGGGCCTCCTGCAGTGCCACAACGATGCCACCTGAAGGTTGCAGGAACAGCAACTCATATTCCGCTTGGGAACCCTGCAGCCTAATGGTATCAATGTGGACTTCACAAGCTTCAAAATCTCCCCTCCCCCTACCGCATCCCAAAACCAGCCCAGCTCGTCCCCGCCTCCCTAACCTGTCCTTCCTCCCACCTCAAGCCCCACCCCCATCTCCTACCTACTAACCTCATCCCGCCCCCTTGACCTGTCCGTCCTCCCTGGACTGACCTATCTCCTCCCCACCTCCCCACCTACACTCACCTTTACTGGCTCCATCCCTGCCTCTTTGACCTGTCTGTCTCCTCTCCACCTATCTTCTCCTCTATCCACCTCCCCCTCTCTCCCTATTTATTTCGGAACCCCCTTCCCCTCCCCCATTTCTGATGAAGGGTCTAGGCCCAAAACGTCAGCCTTCCTGCTCCTCTGATGCTGCTTGGCCTGCTGTGTTCATTCAGCTCTACACCTTGTTATCTCAGTCTCCAATGTTTGTTTGTTTCCTTGACATGCTACTAAACAGGACTGAACTGTGTTTGTGACTGTGCATATATACAATAATAATTTTTGTGAATAAAGTATATTTTTGAAACAAGAGGAAGTATGCCTTGTCCTTTTCCCAGTTGTTAATTGTGGGTTTCAAAGGCAATGTCTAAGAATCCTTGGTGAATTCCTGCAGTGCATCCTGTAGATGGTACACGCCACTTCTACTGAGCGCCAGTGGTGGAGGGAGTGAATATTTGTTGAAGTGGTGTCACAAGAAATTACAGAAATTTGTGAATGTCACTCAATCCATCATGAAATCCAGCCTTCCTTCCATTAACTCTGTCTATACTTCGCACTGCCTCAGAAAAGCAGCCAACATAATCAGAAACTCCTTCCAACCTGGTTATATTCTCTTCCGCCCTCTTTCATTGTGGAGAGGATACAAAAATTTGAAAATACGTACCAAGAGATTCAAGAACAGCTTTTCCCCCACTGTTAGCAGACTTATGAATGAACCTTTTATAGTTTAGAGTTGATCTTTCTCTGCACCTCTGTAGCTGTAAAACTATATTTTACATTCTGTTCTATTACCATGATGTACTTACGTAAGGTATGATTTGTCCGGTTAGCACACGAAACAATGCTTTTCAATGTATCTCGGTACATGTGACAATAATAAATCAAATCAAATCCATAGAATTGATGAGGCTAATCCAGTTCAATTTCTAGTTAATGGTAATCCCCAGGATGTTGATGGTGGGGGTTTTAGTGCTGTTAAGTGCTATTGAATATCAAGAGTAATGGTTAGATTTTTGCTTGTTAACGACGGTCATTACCTTGCACTTGTCTGGCATAAATATTAGTTGCCATTTGTGAGTCAAATCGTGGATATTGTGCAGGTCTTGCTGTAGTTGAACATGAACTGCTTCAGTATGGGAAGAGTCACAGAGTGCTGAATATTGTGCAGTCATCAGCGAACATCCTCATTTCTGACTATAGGAGGAGGCACTAAGGGTTGCAAGGGATAGAGAATATATTCTGGTTGGGATATTTTGATTTCCAACACCAAGAGTAGCTTAATAGCACCACCACTGACTGAACTGGCTGAGTTCTAAAGGATATAGCTGCTAGATTGGGTCTTTGGCAGAAAGGGGAATTAATAAGAGGTAAAACTCTAGTTGAACTTGTCCCCACCAATCTGCCTGTTACAGATAGAAGGTATCAGTAGGATTGATTACCACAGTCATCGTGGAGACAAAATCCCATCTTCACATTGACCACGTCCTCCATCATGATGTATGGCACTATCACCTTGCTAACTGGGACAGACTTTGAATAGTTCTAGCAACTCAAAGGTGGATGTAAATGTGGTGGTAGTGGGTCATCAGTAGCACAATTATATTCAACCACAATCTGTAACCATATGGCCAACATATTTTAAATTATCTATCATTACTATCAAGTAGGAAGACCAACCCTGGTTCAATGAAGAATGTAGGAGGGGTGCCAGGAGTAGCACTAAGCATATCTAAAAATGTGCTGTAAACCCAGAGTAGGTGCAATACAGGTCTACTTTAATGTTAAACAGAGGAAGCAGCATCTAACAGACATGGCCAAGTGATCTTGCTGCCAATATACCAGATCTAAGCTGTGCAGTCCTGCAACATCCAGGCATGAATGGTGGTGGTCAATTAAACAATGAGCACAAATATCCCAATCTCAATGATGGGAAAGTGTAACACATCAGTATTTTTCCAAATGTGGGACATAGGCATCAGTGGGTATACAGCTTTGAGCTCCCTGAGTGTTTATTTTAAATTAGATAAAAGAAGCATGAGTGGGTGGAGTCAGACTTACACAGACCCAGGGTTTTAGTTGTGGTTTTCAGTTGGAGTCTGGAGGTCACTGTTGAAGCTGATAGGTACAGCTCTCTTGTGCAACACAAAGCTTGAGTTCTCTCTCTGCTGTGAGATTGTGAGGAAAGGCTAAGCTTGTATTTGCTGGAGTTTAGAAGAATAAGAAGTGACTTGATTGAAACATATAAGATTCTGAGGGGACTTGATAGGGTGGATGTGGAAAGGATGTTTCCTCTTATGGGAGAATCTAAATCCAAGCATCACTGTTTAAAAATCAGGGGTCACATATTTAAACAGAAATGAAGCAATCTTTTTTTTCTCTGAGTGTCTTGAGTATTTGGAACTTCCATGAAAAGATGATTTTTCACTTGAGTTTAGGAGACTGAGGCTTTTTTAAAATCATGTGCAATATGGATATTGTCAATAGCCAAGGGCTTTCCCAAGGATCGGGGTGTCCAAAACCAGAAGGCATAAGTTTAGGGTGAGAGGGGAAAGATTTAAAAGGGACCTGAGGGGCAACTTCTTCACACAGAGGTGCATATATTGAAGGAATTGCCAGAGGAAGTGATAGAGGCAGGTACGATCACAACATTTAAAAGACATTTGGACAGGTATGTGGATGGGAAGGGTGTAGAGGGATATGAGTCAAATGCAGGCAAATGAAACTAGTTCAATTCAAGAAACCTGGTTGGCATGAATGAGTTCGGCCAAAAGATCTGTTTCCGTGCTGCATGACTCTATGACTTTATAACTATTTCTATCTGTCATTGCCAGACAAAACTGAAGATGACAGAATCCCCGAGGAGACAGTGAATAGCAGACTCAACAGCCTCATCACCATTTTCCGTTTCATTATGAAGCAGAGCTATATATGTGCACTCATTGCCATGATGGTAAGTACGAAGGTGGGAGGCTGATTTTATATTCTCTGTTACTGTGTTGCCTAACACTGGTGCAATAAGCAATTGTGTGTGCTAAAACACAAGACTTTGTGGAATTGATTTATGTGTTACTACCACTTGTACAGCAGTAGAATTTTCATAGGAACAGAAAAGTGCTGTCAAAATGAGCCTTTCTCATAGACCAACACTATCCAGTATGTGAAACAGCTGCTGATTGGTACATGGGCTGGAAATGAATAAATTCCATTTCTCAAACTTTGGAAACAAACTTTTAATAATAAACTTTAGAATGGCACCATGCTATTTCAGAATCTATTTCATCTCAAGGACAGGAATGTGTATGTCATTATTTTGCTTACCTGATAAGAGTAGAGACAGAAGCATAGTCTTCAAAGAGACCTTTGATGAAGTACTATGTGCCAGCACGCAGACTATAAATGGTGCTGGAGAAAACAGGACATACTTCATTCATTTAATTTATCTGATGCCAGCCATTTCTCAACGGTAGAGCCCAAGTCTGACGCTGATATAATGGAAAATATAAACTCTTCACTATAAATACCATACCTTTATCCTGTCTTTCTTCCAGTTAGAGTTATCTAAAAAATGTGCTGTTACAATCACACCTTTACCATAAAGAATCCTGCACTTTAAATGGACACAGGTTTATATAATTATTTATACGAGAAATATTTTGCAATACATATATATAAATATGAAGGTGATTTTAAATCTTATGCACTTGGTAATAATTAGAATTGGAAGTCAATAATTTTCTTCCAACTCTGAGATAATCTGAATTTGACCTGAACTTGGCTAATTAACATTTTCAGCGAGTTTCATAGAGGCTCTCTCTATATTAGTCCTAATGAGTTTTCTCAAGCTATCCTCTCAAACTCACCATTACCTTTCTACCATGCCCTCATGATGCCTCCTTCATTGTAGTCTCCAACTCACTGCAAACAGAAGTACTGACCACCGTCAGTTATTAGCACCCTGCTTTGCCCACACATACTGTTGACACATGCCATCTATGCAGTCACTGGCCATGAAGCATGCCCTGAGATATTGGTGCTTATTGTTCAAGATGGCAGCTCAGAGGAACAAATAGTGAACTGGAGTTGCTAGGTACTACTCTGACTTTCATGCTAGTAATGGTTGCTATCTACTTTCTGTCCAGCGTAGTGTTATGAAGTTGTGTAGAGTAATCGTGAATTGGAAGGCAGGAAGCTAGAATTTGTTTGTAAAAGAAATGATAAGGGGTAGGGGGGAATGAGTGTGTAGTCCCTTTAAGAGCTGATGTGCTTTTCTGAGCTTGGAGATTTAAATGAAAATGTGTCTGTATGTAGCTGAAGATGTACAGCCAGTTCACAAATAGAAACATGTATCAGTTGGCTGTGTGATTGGAAACCTTAGGCTTGTTTTGATGTTTTGGCAACTAACTAGAATCAGCCAATTAATTTGAACCAAGAACTCAGCCATTTTAAGCCAATTAAATTTAAATTTGATGGTTTTGATAACCTTAGACTAATGCTATTGTAAGAAAATTGATATGTCATCCAGGGTATGCAAGGAGAGGGTTTTTGAAAATCGGAGTGAGAGCGAACTGCCATCTGAGAAATAAGTATCGAGCTTTCACAAGAAATGGCTAAGATCTCTAAGAAAGCACCATCTATCCATAAAAGATACCACAACACTTCTAGCTAAGAGTCCTCACAGAAGACTTCACAAAGAAAACATCCCTGATAGCCAGATCAGCGGCTAGAATAAAGGCGTTCATAACTTGAGAACAGCAGAAGAAAGGCATTTATGACTGGCGAGACAGTGGAAAAGGCAGAGCATTCCAGAAGACACAATCTGTGTGGACTTAAGGGACTAAGTTTTTAATTTTTTTTTCTTATTACTTGGGTTATATAAGTGGGACTTGTGTTTATTGGAATAGCATGCCAGTAAAATTTTGTTCAATTAGGGAATAGTTCAGAGGTAGGGGGAAATTGTTTAGTTTGTTAGTAGATCTGTAAGTTTGCTCACTGTTAGGGTTAAATAAATAAACTGTTACTGTTGCTTATAAAGTTATTATCAGGGATTTTCTTTCATGTAACCTCCCCTTCTCTATAACAGTAGGAAATCGTACACTAATGAGGTGAGATGATATGATAATGCATTTAAACAATAAGCATGTTAATGTATTCAACCGATGGACAAGGATCCCGCAATAGGCAGCTGGAGATCGAACAACAAACTGAAATGGCAACCTCATGGCATTGTGGTATTGATAACTTAAATTTAATTGTAACTGAGGAGACACCAGAGCTATGAGAGATCTTTCCTCAGCCATCCTCATTCCAGATCTTTACTGGCCCTTCCAATTGCCAGCCACGTTGTAAAGACCAAATCTCCTTACTTTTCTGTATTTGTAATGGTGAAAAGAAATGGGAAAAGGCCTGTTTTAAAAAAACAAAGATTGTGGAAGGGATTGCTGTATATTTTGAAACCAAGCTACTAGTACTTATTATGAGTGTTTTTATACTGTTATTTGTTCAACCAGTGGGAAAAATTTAGTTGCAGAAAAATGGGCATGAAAATCCGTGTGCAAAGTGAGATTCAGCTGGTAACAATTAGCTGATTGCTCTGTGGAGTTATGACCAGTTATTGTTGACAAAGGCTTCTGCCTGCCACCAATCATGTGATTGGATCCCAGTTAGATGAACAGTATGTGGGTGTTAATGTTATAACCAGAAGACTTTGGATCTCCAGAAGAGGAGACAGGTTTTTTTTGCAGTAAAACAAACATTGAATGGCTGAAGGATGCCAGTTTATTTCTTCTCACCAGTTGCTATAAGCTTTTAACTAATAAGTCAGAGACTTTATAAATTGTGAAGTAATCACTCCGTGCCTCCTGCAAGGAAGTGAAAGTTCCTGAAGAAGAAAAATCAAGAAACAAGAAGTCTGGCAAGCCAACTGAATAATCCCAGTGAATTGTGTGGACAGGGACTGCTGAACAGCCTTCTGAGACTTTTTCCTCTCCAATATATCAATGTGTTTTTCTTCCTGTGTATGTCTATATGTGTGTGGAGGGAGTGTCTTATAAGGGGCTTAGAGTTTTAACTAGTAGAGTTGTATGTTGATGGTTCATAATTAATTTCCTGTAGCTAAAATGTATTTATTTGTGATGAATAGTAATTTTTAAGTTCAGAAAACTGGTCCATGCTTTCTGTCAACTTGGATCTAAAAGACAGGTAGAGCGGGCAATTTTGTTACTTTTGTAACATCATTAACATTTGTGATGACTCTGGGAATAGTGGGTCTTGATTTCCAGTGTGCTATCCCAGTGAGGTATAACAACACCTACTCTCCTGCCTTCCACTCCAGTTCCTCTGAGCTGGCCACTCTCTACAATGCTATCCCTGCTTATTCCCCTAGCGTTACTTATAACCCATCTTCTCCCATCCTCCCAATTTTAATGGCCTTCCAGTCCTTCTAATTTCCCCTTAGTGACCATGTTATCTTCTCAGTACTGGCAGTTATACCCAACCCCAAAATTGCTGTCCTGTTACTTGTGTCCTTCAACTGATCTAGGTCTCCCAATACCCTTTCTAACTCCCTGATAGTAATGTGGATTGAAGACACAGGCCCACATTTTGTCCATGGTTTCTTTGTTCATTGCTTAACCACTTCTACTGGTATTTTTCCTCATAGTGGTGGAAATGATGGTTTTTCCCAACCAGCCAGCAAGGACCAATAATGGCAACCTAATGGTTTTCACCAACCATCCCTTCTATTTTTATTTGCAGCTGGGGATACCTGCGCTATGTAGTAAGGCTGCCAGATATATCTTATGGGCTTGTATAGAGGTGCCCCCCGCCCCGGGTTCCTGTGCCGAAGAGAAAGCACTCACTTGATGATCAACAACTACACTTGTTTCCACCTCATTCTATTCTACCCTTTTCAGAGCCTGTCTGATTCACTCTAGCAAATCCGCTGAACTGACTTGTGATTTTAGCCTCCTGCATGGCTCACCATCAGGGAATGGTACTGTTCTGAGTGGCGCTTCTGAGACTGCAATTTTGCTAGCAACCTGATTCATGGCCAGCTCTTGGAGACAAGGCACCTTCTCACATGGGAATGGAAGGAATGCCAAAGGGGTGTAAGAGCAATCTCGACTTCCTGTGTCTAAAAGAGGTAGATTCGCCACTATTTTACAACCTGGTGGTGAGAGGCAGTTGCCTGCAAGAAAAATTTGGCCATTGTTTCAGAAGTAGGCACACAGCTAAAAGAGCAGTGGAAAACTTTGAAATGTCTGAGCTACATTTTCAAGAACGGATCACAAACATTAATTATTTACTGGAACAATAATTGTTTACAGAAATCCCTAAAAGTAGAGATTAATGTTTTCAGACAGATTACTTCACTCAGTACTATTCCAGAAATCAAATTCCAGAGTCAAATCTCACATTCTACTATGTGGTAGCACCATTGACTCAGTCAGAAGGCTTCCATTCCAGATACTTCAGACTTGGTAATCTAGATTGATACTTCAGTGGTTCTACTGAGAGGACATTGCACTGGTGAACTTAAAAAAATTGATCAATTTGTAACATGCCACTGTACAATTAATTGGCTGTCACATTTCTCTGTATTACAACAGTGACACACTTGCAAAGGTAACTCACTGGTTATACAGCTCCTTACTACACTTGACTGTTCTTTTCTAAAGACCTCTTTAAAACTTGCCTCCTTAAAACTCACCTCTTTGCAGGAATTATTTAGATGTTTTTGCATCACATTGCTCTGAATAATAAATATGCATTGTGTAATTGAATTTTGTTTGATTTAGCAAAGTCTTTAACATTTAATTCACCAAATTTCAGCCCACTTATCTACATTTTCCTTAGCTTTTTCATATCAACTAAGCAGTAAAATATGAAATTTTATTCTCTTTATTGCGTGTATTTTTGTTTTATATACTTTTTTACTGATTCAATTTAATATTTTGATTTTCAAGGAATATCAGGTATGTTCAGTGATTCAATGATTTACCTTTGTTGCACAAGATGCTGTTTAGTTTTGGGGTTTTTTGACTTTTTTTTCTCATCTTTAGGCTTGGAGTATTACCTATCATAGCTGGCTCACCTTTGTCTTATTGATCTGGTCCTGTATTCTCTGGATGGTGCGAAATCGGCGGCGATATGCCATGCTCACATCTCCATTCATGGTCTTCTATGGAAATGTTCTCTTAACCCTGCAATATATCTGGAGTCTTGACCTTACAGAAGAAGAACTTCCTCAGTTAACAGGAGTCTTACAAAAGATGAAGACAACCCCATGTGTCGAACTAAGTTCAAAGGTTGGCTTTAATGAAACAAGATCTTAAAATTAACTTTTGTGGATGTTTGTCTGCAACTTCTAAAATGTTTAACTGAAATTCCATTTTCTGCTATTTTGTAAAGTCTTTTAATCTGTTTATAATGGATAGGTGGATAGGTATGATGACCTATCATTGTGCTGCCAGTCTGGTCATCTAATAAGTGGCTAATAATCGAAATGATGTGGGATCAAACTCCAGTATTCAGTTTAAGAAATGAATTCCAGTTCTGAAAATGTGGAAATAAAATAAATTGATAAACATGACTGCAGATGTAGGCTATTTGGCCCTTCAAGTCTACTCTGCCATTAAACAAAATGATGGCTGATCTTCTACTTCAGCTTCTTACTCTTCAAGTCATAGAGTCATCAGTACGGAAATGGACCCTTCAGTCCACGCTGACCATGTTCTCAATCTAAACTAGTCCCACTTGCCTGTACCTTACCTGTACCATTCCAATCCTCTCTTATTCATGAACTTATCCAAATGTCTTTTACATGTTGTAACTGTACCTGCATCTACCACTTTGTCTAGCAGTTCATTCCAAACACTAACAACTGTTTCTAAAACAAAAGTTGCTTTCATTACCCTTTTAAATCTTTCTCCTCTCACATTAAAAATATGCCCAAAAATATAGTTTTGAACTCCCCACACTAGGGAAAAGACCCTTGTCATTCACCTTATCTATGCCCCGCATGATTTTATAAATATCAACAAGGTCACCCCTCAGCCTTCTATGCTCCATTCTTTCTAATCTATTTTTACATCTCAAACTATCCATTCCTGGCAACATTATGGTAAATCTTTTCTGAACCCTCTCCAGTTTAATAATATCCTTCCTATAACAGTGTCCAGAACTGCACACAGTGCTCCAGAATATGGAGTTTAATTTAGTTAAATGTGATGTGCTGCTTTTTGAAAAGGCAAATCAGGGCAGGACTTGTACAATTAATGGTAAGATCCTGGGTAGTGTTGCTGAACAAAGAGACCTTGGAATGCAGGTTCATAGTTCCTTGAAAGTGGAGTCACAGCTAGATAGGGTACTGGAGGAGTTCAGTATGCTTGCCTTTATTGGTCAGTGCATTGAGTATAGGATTTGGGAGGTCATGTTGCAACTGTACAGGACATTGGTTGGGCCACTTTTGGAATACTGCATGCAATTCTGGTCTCCCTGCTACAGAAAGGATGTTGTGAAACTTAAAGCAGTTCAAAAAAAGATTTACAAGGATGTTGCCAAGGTTAGAGGGTTTGAGCTATCGAGAGGCTAAATAGACTGTGGAGGCATGGTGGCTCAAAGGCTAGCACTGCTGCCTCACAGCTCCAGGGACCCACTCTGGGGTGACTATCTGTCTGTGTGGAGTTTGCACATTCTCCCCGTGTCTGTGTGGGTTTCCTCTGGGTGCTCCGGTTTCCTCCCACAGTCCAAAATGTGCAGGGTAGTTGAATTGACCATGCTAAATTGCCCATAGTGTTCAGGGATGTTTAGGTTAGGTGAGTTAGACATGGGGAATGTAGGGGTAGGAGAATTGATCTGGGTGGGATGCTCTTCGGAGACGTGGTGTGGACTTGCTGGGGTGAATGGCCTGTTCCCACGCTGTAGGGATTCTAAGTTCTATTTTCCCCCAGAGTGTCAGAAGTTGAGGGTTGACCTTATAGAGGTTTATAAAATCATGAGGGACATGCATAGGCTAAATAGACAAGGTCTCTTCCCTGTGGTGGGGGTCTCTAAAACTAGAGGGCATGGGTTTAAGGTGAGAGGGGAAAGACTTAAAAGGGACCCAAGGGGCAACATTTTCATGCAGAGGGTGACATGTGTCTGGATGAACTGGCAGAGGAAGTGAAGTTTGATACAATGACAACATTTAAAAGGCATCTGGGATGGGCATATGAATAGGAAGGGTTCAGAAGGATATGAGCCAAATGCTGGCAAATGGGACTAGATTAATTGAGGATATCTGGTCGGCATGGACAAGTTGGATTGAAGGGTCTGTTTCTCTGCTGTATACCTCTATGACTCTAAGATCTCTTCAATATTCTGAACAACCTCATCATGACATCCTAACTCAAAGGTCTGAGCAATGAATACTCTCCCCATATATTTTATTTCCTTGTACCCCTAAAACTAATTGATCTCTGAATTGAGTATACTGAAGGAGTGGGAAACCACAGCGCTCTTGAGAATTCCAACAGCTCCTAATCGTTTGGGTACAAAAATTTCTCCACAACTCAATCTTAAATGGTTTACCTCATGTTCTACATCTACAATGCCTTTTTCTAGAATTTCCAGGCAGGGGCAAAATTTTCCTAGCTTCTAAGCTGTAAAGCCCCGTAAGAATTACATTTGTTCCAATTTGAGCATCTGTCATTCTTCAAGACTTAATGGAATATAGGTTTAGTTGATCCAATCTCTTCTCACTGGGTAATCCATTCACTCCAGTAACTGGTCCAGTGAATATTTGTTGCAGTCTTTTTCTTTATTCATTAAAAATAAAGTTTTTCAAATAAAGTACATTTAAAGATTCTAAATCAATTCTGTATAGTCTCTGCAGAGGCAGAAGAAAACAAACAAAACATTGGAATTTTGACGTTTCCCAGTCTAGTGTTTGTAACAAGGTCAGCTAATTCATAGAATGACTTCTGTGATTGGGGCAGTTTAACTGCTGCAATCAAGGAACCCTGGTTAACATATAAAAAGGGCGGGAGTGTCAGAGACTGAAATTCTGGTGCCTGACTCTGTATGAGGCACTACTATAGCCAAGGACTGTTCATGTGTAAACAAAGGGTGACTTGATAGGATATCAGCCTCTGGAGTTTTTATACCTAAAGTTTCTCTGCAACTGCAAAAACTAAGGCATTTTTACTTACGCAGAAAGTTATTTCTATTCATTTGAAGGCAATGAGAAAACCTCACAACTAAACAAACCCACATTATACTTTGGCAGAAAGACCTTAGATCATGGTCTTTCCTCACTGCACCTTGGCAGCAGCTGTCCCAGACTTTTGTGTGACCCTCAGCACATAGTCTGGACCTTGGAATGTGCCAGTCTGCAACTCTTAGTTGAGGTCAATTCTTTACACTGCAACACTAAGTTTTAACAGAGCCAAAGAGCATCTTTCACAGAGTTGATGGTACTCCACGAGCAGTTGATGTTAGTCTTAGTCATGGAGTTGCTCGGGATAGACCTTGACAAAAACCATTGCGTTACTTTCTGGACCTTCTTTGCAAAGGCACATTACTGAAGGAGATGTGTAACAAGGGTCAACTTTCCTGCTCCTCTGATACTGCCTGGCCTGCTGTGCTCCTCCAGCTCCACACTGTGTTATCAATAGACACCCAACCCAGCAAGCTTCATTATGCTGTACTGCTCTCCATTGTGCTGTGCTACTCTCCATTACCATTGATGCTAATTCATTCTTGACCTGTACAAGCTTACATTCATTTGCAACTGATTCTCCTTGTAAATGCAGGTGCTAAAGGCACTTTTTAAACTTCTATGAAGAAGGGACCAGCACTGGAGATACCGGCCCCAACTCCAGTGGAAGCATAGACCATAGATATAGGAGCAGAATTAGGTCATTGGCCTGTCGAGCCTGCTCTGCCATTCAGTCATGGCTGTTATGCTTCTCAACCCCATTCTCCTGCCTTCTCCCTATAACCTTTGATCCTTTGCTTCATCTAATTAAGACATGGGAGTGCAATCTAGTAAGCATGTCTCCACAAGCAGTTGAGGAAGAAACATCTGAGGGCTCTAGCACTCAGACAAATAGGCAAGGCATTTACTGAGCCCAACAGAAGATGTGCCCCTGTCTGCAGCCATTAATGACTTTGTCAGTAGGCAAAGACAGGCACAAAAACAAGTGGTGAGATGATTTGTCACTTGAGGGGAGATATACCTTATTAAATGCTTGATTGACACTGTGGTTTACTTCATTAATATTCAGCTTCCTGTCAAATGCACCAAACAAGCTAGATATCAAAATTACATGGACAGTTGAGGAGTAACGGGCAACTTTAGCTCACCTCTCATTCCATAGCATCTACATGTTGGACAGCATCATTGACCAGAAACATTGGCACCTGTCATGTGTCTGCATCTAAGAACCCTCAATACATCTCTCCGATCAACTTTGAGAGGATGTTTCTACATTTCATTACTGCACCTTGCCCTTCACCAAGAACTAACATTGTAATACTGCTGCAAGGACACTATAAGCTCAGGGACATGCAGCCAGTTCATGGATTAGATCAGGCTGCATCTGAAAAAGGGTGACTGGACTCGAAACCTTAACTCTGATTTCACTCCACAGAAGCTACCAGACTGCTGAGATTTTCCAGCAATTTCTGTTTTTGATTCAGATTTCCAGAATCTGCAATTCTTTTTGGCTTTTCGCATCTGCAACCTGTTTGTTTGCTGTCATAGCGTTCACTCACTCTGAGCCTACCTGGATGCACACAGCAACCTTGCCTTGCATTGCTTTGTCCTGACTTTTTGCACTTTGCCCCCTAAACCGGAGCTACCCGGCTCACGGTCCAGCTATATTTCCCTGCTGTTTAGAGCAGACACAAGGCAGGAAGCTTGGCATAGTTGTCAGCAGTCTTCAGTCAATGGATATAACCTTCAATTAAGGGCCCTGGCATTGGAAGTCAAGCCAGTCTCATTAGCAGTCCAGGGGCTTGGACAGTCAGCCGCTCAAGATATTTAGAATCAGGATGCTCTCCATATAAGACGTAAGGAGCCGAATATCAGGTAGCTACCACCCATCTTTACTTTTTCTGTCCTACTAGAGCTATTTTCCTCCTGGAATGAGAGAGAGGTGAGTATTAAGAGTGATGAAAGTAGGTGGCACAGGTGTTACTTTTGATGCAGGTAGGGACATATCACAAATGAGTGAGTAGGCAGTGCAGAGGGTATGCAGACTTAATGGCGTCAGAGGTTGGAGTCAGAGAGAGTGAGTGAAGGAAGGTATTGCAGCCAATAATAAGTGTATGAGGATAACCACAAACCTTGGTGGAAGGTGGGTACAGTAGCAGGGATAGAGTGAGTCTGAGCTATCGGAGATAAACAGAAGACATGGAAAAAGATCAGGAGTAGGCCATTCACTATGATCATGGCTGATAATCTAACCCTGTTCCTATTTACCCCCCATTACCCTTTGATCCCTTAACTCGTGAGAACTCTTATGTAACTTGCTAGACAGTATAGATTATGGGTTTGGAACAAAAACAGAAATTGATTGGAAAAGCTCGGCAGGTCTGTTAGCATCAGAATTAATGTTTCAAGACCAGTGACCCTTTCTCAAAACCTTCTAAAGAAGGGTCACTGAACCCAAAACATTAATTCTGCATTCTCTGCACGGATGCTGCCACACCTGCTGAGTTTTTCCAGTAATTTCTGTTTTTGTTCCAAACCCATAATCTGTACTGTCTAGCAAGTCAAACACAGCAGACACATAGGAAGATAGCTACCCCCTCCAGGTTGTATATCATTGTAACTGGAGCTATTTTGTCATTCCTTTGCTGTTGCTTGGTAAAAATTGGGGTACTCCCTCCTTAACAGCTTTGTTTTTGTACCTACATCACGTGGATGCTAGAGGTTCAGGAAGGTAGTTTATAACCAAGCGCAATAAGGGATTGTCTCCAAATTCTATCTCAAAGAAATGAACTGAAAATGCAGCAAATCTTCACATTTTGAAAAGTGTAGACATTTCTTATACCTTTGGTTATTTTTCTGTTCATAACGTTAAGAATATTCATATTTTATTTGATAGATCCTGTGTGCACTGACATTCTGGCTGCTACTCCGCCAATATATTACAGAGCGCCGAGAAGCAAAGAAACTCAAGGAATCTGCCTTATCAGAAGTTAAAGTAGAGGAATTAGGTAAATCTGAATCATAATCATTTATCGAGAAACTCTTTGTATGACAATGCCAAAGTTATTCATCAATGCAATAAATGTCTCGAAATTCTTTGCATGAAACTGATTATGAAAGAAATGATAGATTTTGGTCTTACCCACCTGGACAGTTTTGAGACATAGCAGATCACCAGACATCATATATGAGAATCAGGTGATTTCCTTAAAAGGGACTCATTTTGCCAGGTTACCACTGAGGCATTTGGTATCCAAAATAGAAATTTTGGGAATAGAAATTTGCTGTTTAAAAATTGACAAGTAACCCTTGTATTTCTTTTCTCATTTAGATGATGGCCAACAAGGAAAGGAGATAATGAAAGTCTTAGGAACCCTGGTGATGGGAATGTTTGTCAAGTATTGGATTTACGTTTGTGGTGGAATGTTTTTCTTCGTCAGTTTTGAGGGGAAGATTGTCATGTACAAGATTATATACATGATGTTGTTTCTGTTCTGCGTTGCTCTATATCAGGTACATATTTCTGGTAGTTTTATGATAGTGCTACATCTCGTATAAAATACAAAACTGCATATGTTACACAGATGAGATTCTTCAGCTATGGTAGTTATTAATTTTTCTCTTCTTTGCTCAATAATTACAGAATCCATATAATGCAGGTAGAGGCCATTCGGCCCATTGAGCCTGCACCAACCCTCTGAAGAAGAATGTTATAATAATATCTAGCAGTTGAGCGATAAATTATATTTTCCTCAAACTGTCCCCATACTGATTGTTTTATGCATACAGATTTGTTGTCAAATTACTGTTAAAAATGAATTAAAAATTATTGTTTCTGGTATTAAGTTGTACCTTGATCCTCTTTCTTTCTTTCCTCCAAAACTGGTTGACTGTTTTAACGAGACTAACTTAAAATACAGTTTGATTCTGCAACTAAAGAAGTTTTTAGTCTTTTTGTATACTTGTGAAATGACACCAGTTAATCTACAGGCAACAGACTGATAAGTTACATCGGAAATTTACTCTTGGCTAGGAAAACATTTCACCACCTCAATAATTGTTACTATAATGATCAAGAATGCTGTGTAAATTAATAATTGGTTAATTGGAAGTTTCCTATTCCATTCGTATAGTCATTATTCTCCAGCTAATTGTATCACTGAATGAATGCTAGAAGACAAAAAGCCCATCCAGAACTAACTCATGGATCAACAACGCTGTCATACCCTTTTCTTATAGTCTGTCTCTTGTCTGGTGAAATCAATAATGACAATAGGAGCGTAAAATGCTGCATCTTTGGAGATGGATACAGTGTAAACATTTCAGGTCAATCATCTATCACTGCAACTGAGAAAAGTTAGAAATGTAAATAGCTATTAATCAAGTGAAAGCACAGAGGGTAGAAAAAGAATACGAGGGAAGATTTGTGACAGGGTTTAAAGTGGGAGTGATTAAGTGACAAAAGAGTTAACATAGAACAGTACAGCACAGTACAGGCTCTTTGGCCCACGATGTTGTGCTGAACTTTTACCCTAATCCTAAGGTCTATCTAACCTCCACCCCTACCTTATACTATCATCCATTTGCCTATCTAATAGCCACTTAAATGCCCCTAATGAGGCCGACTCCACTACCTGCTCCGGCAATGCATTCCACGCCCCGACCACTCTCTGAGTAAAGAACCTACCTCTGACGTCTCCCCTATATCTACCTCCACTCACTTTAAAACTATGCCCCCTCGTAATAGCTACCTCCACCCTAGGAAAAAAGTCTCTGGCTGTCTACTGTATCTATACCTCTGATCATTTTTTACACCTCTATCAAGTCACCTCTCATCCTTTGTCGTTCTAAAGAGAAAAGCCCTAGCTCTCTCAACCTTTCCTCATAAGACCTTTCCTCCATTCCAGGCAACATCCTGATAAATCTCCTCTGCACCTTTTCCAACGCTTCCACATCTTTCCTGTAATGAGGCGACCAGAACTGGACACAATATTTCCAGATGTGGCCGAACCAGGCTTTTGTATAGCTGGAGCATAACTTCACAGCTCTTGAACTCAATCCCTCTATTAATGAAAGCTAACACACTATACACCTACTTAACAACTCTATCCACCTGGGTGGCAGCTTTCAGGGAACTGTGGACATGAACTCCAAGATCCCTCTGTTCCTCCACACTGCCTAGAATCTTTCTGTTAACCCTGTATTCTGCTTTCAAGTTTTTCTTTCCAAAATGAATCACCTCACACTTTTCAGGGTTAAACTCCATCTGCCACTTCTCAGCTCAACTCTGCATCTTATCAATGTCCCTTTGTAACCTAGAACAGCTCTCCGCGCTGTCCACAACGCGACCCACCTTTGTGTCGTCCGCGAACTTACTAAGGCACCCTTTCACTCCTTCATTCAAATCATTTCCAAAAATCACAAATAGAAGAGGACCCAGAACAGATCCTTGTGGTACACCACTCGTAACTGAGCACCATGTTGAATATTTTCCGTCCACTACCACCCTTTGTCTTCTAAGGATCAGCCAATTCTGAATTCAGTCTGCCACATTTCCCCCTATTCCATGCCTCCTTACCTTCTGCATGAGCCTACCATGGAAAACCTTATCAAATGCCTTACTTAAATCCATGTATACCACATCCACTGCTCTACCTTCATCCTCGTGTTTGGTCACCTCTTCAAAGAATTCAATAAGGTTTGTGAGGCATGATCTACCCCTCACAAATCCATGCTGACTATCACAAATCAAACTGTGCCTTTCCAAGTGATCATAAATCCTATCTCTCAGAGCCCTGTCTAATAATTTGCCCACCACTGACGTAAGACTAACTGACCTGTAATTTCCGGGGTTATCGCTGTTCTCTTTTTTGAACAAGGGAATGACATTTCCCCTCTCCAATCTTTCGGCACTATACCCATGGACAGTGAGGACAAAAAGATCATCACCAAAGGCCCTGCGATCTCTTCCCTCGCTTCCCATAGAATCCTTGGATAAATCCCATCAGGCCCGGGGAAATTATCTATCTTCAAGTTCCTCAAAATTCCTAGCACATCTTCCTTACTAACATCGACCTCCTCTAGCCTACCAGCCTGCTTCACACTGTCCTCCTCTACAACTAGGTCCCGCTCAGTTGTGAATACCACAGAAAATAATTCATTAAGGACCTCTCCTATCTCTTTAGGCTCCGTGCACAAATTTCCTTTACAATCCTTGATTGGCCCTACCCTTTCTCTGGTCATTCTCTTATTCCTCACGTACATGTAAAAAGCCTTGGAGTTTTCCTTGATCCTATCTGCCAAGGTTTTCTCATGCCCCCTTATCGCTCTCCTAAGCCCTTTCTTCAGCTCCTTCCTGGCTAACTTGTATCCCTCTGGAGCCTTTTACATTCCTTGTTTCCTAAACCTTACATAAGCATCCTTCTTCCTCTTAACCAGTCATTCGACCTCTCTTGAGAACCAAGGCTCCCTCACTTGACCGCATCTTCCCTGCCTGCTAGGGACAAACATTTCGAGCACACACAGTATGCATTCCTTAAACAATCTCCACGTTTCAATAGTGCTCTTCCCTGACAGCATCTGTTCCCATTTTATGTTACCCAGTTCTTGCCTAACAGAATTGTAATTACCCTTCCCCCAATTATAAACCTTACCCTGCTGTATGTACCTATCCTTTTCCATGACTATTGTAAAAGTAACAGAGTTATGATCGCTACCGCCAAAATGCTCTCCTGCCAACAGGTCTAACACTTGGCCCGGTTCATTGCCAAGCACTAAATCCAAAGTGGCCTGTCCTCGTGTTGGTCGATCTACATACTGCGTCAGGAATCCTTCCTGAATGCACTGGACAAAATCCTCTCCATCTAAACTATTACAACTACAATGTTTCCAATCAATATTTGGAAAGTTGAAGTCACCCATGACTACAACCCTGTGACTGCTGCACCTTTCCAGTATCTCCCTCCCAATCCGCTCCTCCACTTCTCTGCAACTATTAGGGGGTCTGTAAAAAAAAACCCAACAAAGTGACTACTCCTTTCTTGTTCCGGACCTCAACTCAAACTGACTCTGTAGACATATCATTCTCATTTAGTTGGTTGTGCAAGGCTAAAGGAAGTGTTAATGGAACGACTACAGAGACAAACAGTTTACAGGAAATGTAAGTACGAGACTAATAATCAGTTGCTATCAGAAAGGAAAAAAAATGAACTGGCCATCTCTGGCAAAATGCTATCCTAAGTCTCGCTGCCAAATGGGGTCACTGACTCCTCCCTTCACTTCCTTGACATCTGTTTCCATTTGTGGAAATAGGCTGGCTACCAATATCCATTGCATACCCACTAACTTCTACTGTTACTTGAACTGTACATTCTCACGTTCTGCTTTCTATAAGGACACTATTCCATTCTCTCAGTTTCTCTATTTCCATTGCATCTGTTCTGATAATGCCACCTTACGCAGGGCACTTCAGAAATGTTGACCTTTATTTTCAACCAAGGATTTCTGCTACCACAGTTGACAGGTCCGGCCTACATGTCACTCCAGACCCACAGCAATGTGGTTGACTTGTAACTGCCCACTGGGCAATTAGGGATGGGCAGTAAATGCTGCCTAGCCAGAGACGCCCTCATCCCATGAATGAATAAAAAAAAATTCTTTTAAGGTTCAGTTGGCAGCTATGAAAACAAATGCAATGTTAGCAATCATTTCAAGAGGGCAGGAAAACAAGATCAGAGTTGTACTGCAGAGGCTGTTTAGGGCTCTGGTCAGACTGCATTTGGAATATTGTGAGCAGTTTTGGGCCCCATTTCTAAGGAAAGATATGCTGACATTACAAGGGGCTCCAGAGGAGGTTTACAAGAATGTCCCCAGGGATGAAGGCCTTGCATATGAGAAGCAGCTGAAGATTCAGAGTCTGTACTTCAGTTGACTTTAGAAGGAGGATCTTGTTCCAGTTTACAGGATACCGAGAGGCTGGGATAGAGTGGATGTGGAAAAGATGTCTCTATTAATAGGAGAGACTAGGATCTGGGGCCCAGCTTCAGGGTGAAGGGGATGACTCTTTAGAACTGAGATGAGGAGGAATTTCTTCAACCAGAGGGTGGTGACTTTGTGAAACATTATGCCACAAAGGGCAGTGGAGGCCAAATCATTGAGTGTATTTAAGATAGAGTTACATAAGTTCTTAATTAGTAAGAGGATCAAGGGTTATGAGAAGGCAGGAGAATTGGATTGAGAAACCATATTGAATGGCAGAGCAGACTTGATAGGCTGCATGCCTAATTCTCCTTCTATATCTGATGATCTTCTGGCCTTAAAGTGAACATGCGGATTCAGTTGGCAATTAGGAAGGCAAATGCAACGTTAGCATTCATTTTGAGAGGGCTAGAATACAAGAGCAGGAATGTATTGCTGAAGCTGTATTAGGCTGTGATCAGACCGTATTTGGAATATTCTGAGCAATTTTGGGCCTTGTATTGAAAGAAGGATGTACTGGCCTTGGAGGCAATCGA